TTGTCAACAGTGATGTGGATCTTCGGAAGCTAAGCTGCAGTAACTATTGCCGGAAATAGTTTCAGCTAAATATGGTTAAAATGGCATGCGTCTGCCTTAGTAGATACTAGTTCACATCTTAAATTTAGAATATATATGTAGGCAATGCTTTTTCCAATCTTTTAAATAAATAAAAGTTGACATAAAATGACAGCATGTAATGTTGAAGATTTAACTTTGATGGTTCAATATGCATATTCGCATACTTTGGCAAGTATTTATCAATGCTTGACTCTATTTGACTTTATAGAACTCTATTTGTCAAATAGAGTTCTATGTTCTACAAATAATAACGCAAGAAAAGTTCTTAGTGTACCTAGTTGATTTTTTAAGCCATATTAGAAATTTAACTTTAATGGTTCCATCATGGTATTCTCATATTTCGCCAAGCATTTATTAATAGTAGTGCATTTATTAATAGATGGAACTATCTACAGTTCCATCACTGAATGTGGCCAAATGGAGTTCTATCTAGTACAAATAATATTGTAATAGAAAAGTTCTTAACACACCTAATTGATTTTTTATTTATTTTTTATCTTATAATATAAGTAATTTTAAATATTTTAGTGGAGGCACCCAGTTACAGATAAAAGTATTCCTTCACCACTCAAGAATTTGATAAGAAAAAAATAAATTTTAAAAAGCGGAAAAGCTCGTAGTAGTCAACCAAGAATAAAAGCCAGTAAAACTTTAGCAAAGAAAATATAGGATAAAAAATGTTAACGGAATATCGAATGTACTGCATCCTGCTGAGTCAAACATGAGACAACGTAGGCTTGGACGATATGTACAATCATTGAACCTGGCAAGATGTTACGAAAATAAACTAAATGAAACAACAAAAAATATTTGGAAGAAAAAAAAAATTGAAACTACACGGAAGCCAAAGCTAAGCAACAATCAAGGCAAAATGTGTGTAGGAAAAAGTGTAGGAAAATTGAAACCCCGAAACGCACTACACAGCATACAAAATTGTCAACGGTGTGCAGGTTGTCTGCCGCAACGCAATGTGGCAACATCTTGCCTAAGAATATAAAGCAAAGCAACAACAACAACAACAACAGCGACGATAGGAACAACAATAGAAAATCGGTACAAAATGACAACGCAGCAAATCACGAGGAAAACGATTTGCTCTGTTGGACTAAAATGACTACTTGCGTTGCCTGCAAATACGGTGAGTGACATAAACGCTGTTACGCTACTGCCAGCTGACGCCCACAACAACAACAACAATAACAACAACACAGCCAACAATAAATGAAACAAGTAATAGTCATACATATTATACCTTAGCAGGGGTTTCAGGTTTTTATTTCCAACAGGGTCGCGCATCTCTGTAGTGCCAATGTCGGCATTGGTGTTGGTGTCGGTGTCGGTGTCGGTGTTGATGTCGATGTCTCGTGTCGCCTGTGTGTTTAGTTACTGACTTGTTTAACAGTTGTAAATGGCATGTGGCGGTAGTGGTGCTAGTGGTGGTGGCGGTGGTGGTATTATGGAGTGGGGAGTAATAGTAGTAATAGAAAAAATATGGCCGTATATGTTGCAGTGCATAGATGCGTAGCAACAATACCTTTCGATGTCTGAAATTGCACGCTCGATTTTTCTATTCCTGCTGCTGCTAAATTAGGGTGAATTGCGATGTCTCTTTTTTATGATTCCAGCATTAAATGTGTACTACGCGACTGGATGAGTAAACATCCTGTCAACGTCGATTTTATACGCTACAAATTTAGAAACAAGTGTTGCTCCCGTCACGATTTGTACCAGTACCGATTCATTTACTTGTAAATAGTTTGAAGCAATTTCATTTAAAAGAAAAAATCTTTAAATGTTTAAGTTTAAGGATTGTACGTATTCAGATTTAAGAATGTACAATAGATTTATTTAAATAATGATATTCCATTTCCAAATATAAGTTATGACATATGTCACTTTAGTATATCATATATGTGGTATTTAAGTCACGTGCTTGGGATTTTGTGGTTGCAAGTAATTTATTCATAAACGTTTTTTCAAATTAAAAAGGTAAATACATTAAAATAAATATTTAACAAAGTAATTAAATAGGAAGGAATAGTAAATTTTGTGGATTTACAGAATTAGAATAATTTATTTTTTATTTCGTTACTCTAAGTTTTACTTTTTTTGAATTACTTGCACAATATTTTATCTCTTTACTATGCGTAATAAAGGGAAGATAATTGATTCTTGTAATATAATCCCATCGGTAAATTATTTATTTATGCAACTCTAATGTATGTATAACAGTTAAAATTGTGGATTTAACAGAGCTTGACCTAACCTGTAGTATCTACAGCAAAGCGTGTCTAACAGTTCTTGAAGAAACGACAGCAGAACATTTGATGTGTCTATGTCCAGGTTTGGTCAGAACTGGACTTAAGTCTCCGGAGGCCCTCTTCCTCAACACACTGAGTGATATCTGTAGTATTAGCATTGCCCAGATTCTTGCCTTCATAAATGCCTTTGGCTGGTTCTAGCTTGTCTTATCTTTACTACCTACTATTACGAGGTTTTTGTAGATGTAAAATAGCTTTCTTAGCTAATTGGGGTGGACTCGTTCCGCTCTCCACCACAATTAACTAACTAATGGAGCTAATGTACTTAAACTATTCTATCAGCAGGACTTGTTTCAAGTCGAAACAGGTACTTGAGTGTTACGAGCATCCACAGTTACTTGCAGCTCGGAGTAAGGTAAGCCTTTGCTAGGTTCCGGGTCAAATAGGAGTTTTGGGATGTAAACAAGCTGATGACCTAGTCAAAACTGCATCAAAAACTGCTTTTTCAGGCCCTCAACCTTTTTGTGGGTTAAACTGGGACAGTACGAAACAAAGAGAGAGAAAATTATATGCTGCTGATGGACTGTGAAAACTTCACAGAACTTAAACAAAACAAAGCAGCAATCAAACCGTACTCCTACAAAAACATACTTAAATTCTCAAAAGGTAATTCTCAATTGCTTGTAAAATATTCTATAAAAAATATGTCTGTTCATTATAATTATTTTATAATATATCAATTAAGGTAAAAAACCATCACAGATTTGAATAATGCTTGTTTAACAAATACAACCACTTCAGAGTACCAATAATATATGAATAAAAGCTAGATTATAAAAACTCTGTACGTTTAAAAAACTTATTGTAAAACAAACTTCACTTTCACTTTATTTTAAACTGTAAATATACTCATATATCGTCTATTAATTAAATTAATGAAAAAAAATACAATTTTACGGACTCTGTCAACTTTAAATATGTTAGATTCGATCAAAATTGAAAAGATTTACTAGTGTACTACAACTATGCCGACGATATTGACATTTTTGGCCTTAATATCCGAGCTGTCATCGTGTCATTTTCCAACTTAAAAAACAATCGAAGTAAATGGGTCTTGTGGAAATGAGAGAAACACAAAGTGTTATTGCCAACAAACAAGTTTCTCGAGCATCTTGGGAACTACGTAGCTGTTGATAATTATATGTACGAAGTTATGAAAGACTTTCTTTATTTGGGAACTAGGATATATACCAGAAATAACGTTAGCCCAGACATTTAACGAAAAATCACTCTTATCAACAGATATTACTAATATTACAGGTAGTACTTGGGGAAAGTAGGCAACTAAAAAACAAAGTTCTTTCCGACAAACAAAAATTGCGCTCTACAAGTCTGTTATCATATCTGTCCTACTGTATGCTGCAGAAACTAGGACAATAATCAATAGTAATGATAAGGCGTTAGAAGCTTTCAAATGAAAAATTCTTCGGAAGATCTGTATTTACTCATGCGTTGGCAACGAGTGGCGAATTAGATGGAACGATATAGCTGTATAACTTATACCTACCGCGACATAGAGACAGAAAACCACAGAAAATTCACTGTAAGGCTGCCTTAGTCATATCGTGTGAATGGAGTAAAATGCTTCAGCTAAAAAGTCGTTTGATTCGATGTCCGTTGGTGGAAAACTGCACCTTTTGGTCGAAGGAAAAGGTTATATGGAGGATTATGTGAAGACAGTTAAAACTACTAACTGGCGACTAATTGAGCCAATGATCGGCCTGATTTGTGTCACGTCTTTATTGGCCAACTAAGTAAGTAGCATTAGTCATACTCTAACCGTCTTTAAAGGTTGGTTACAAGTTTGGTGACACCGACAGATTAGAGCCTCTATAAAGACAGAGTTCTAGATTATTATTGTACATGATACAATATGGAAATATCATTTATGTATACATCTGGCATTTATGTCAACATACAATTAGTCAATGACATGTATCTTACGTCACAAGTTCACAGGACGTAGTGAACTTTATTTTTAAGACTATCCAGGTTCTTGAACTGTTGGTATGTAGTGGAAATATTGGGATGGAATTGCATTAATTTTCAGAATGCATTGCACGAAGGAATATAAATTTATCCATCTATATCTATATATAGCATATATGTAGATCGTGACTTCTTTGAATGTTATATCGACGCCATAAACAAAAATTTGAAACTGAACATCATCGAACTAGATAAATCGTTACAAAGACAAACTTGAAGTCTATATTGGATAAAGAGATAAATTCTAGAGATAAATTCATAAAAAGTATTTCAATATTTTAAACATATTATAAATGTCCTACTATTGAAAATAAAAAGAATATAATTTATACTATTTTTAAAACAATTTATGTATGTTATTGTATTTCGTTTATTTAATTTATTTTTTTTTGATTTCATTTGCAATAATTTTTGGCGGGAAAAAAGTTCGAGTTTTTCAGTAACATATTTGAGTCCATTAAAAATGCGTTTAACATGTTTTCTGTGGTTTTCCTGGTTAAATTGTAAAATTGAAATAAAACGGAAATGCGGACAACACACAAATAAGCATTAAACGCAGATGAAATGCAATTTACTGGCACATTTGCAATTGCCAGGATGTGGATGCGTGGCGTAATCTCCATGCATCGTAGGTGTGCTCCTACGTGACGGCCACATATTGAACGATTTCGCTTGAATGGATTTTTAACAAATTAAATGTAAAATTACCAACGGACACGAATTTATGGCAACAAAATAAAAGTCCTAACCGAACCACAACTACAGTTACAACAACAGCAACAACAACAGTGCAACGCGCAACAATTTCAACAATTTTCCGTTGTGCATGCGAAAATAACAAATTTAACAATTTTACAACACTGTAAGTTGCACTTATGCCCAAGGGCTGAGTGTTGAGTGCTGCGTGCTGAGTCCTGATACGCCGATGTGCAATGTGTGGATGTGGAGCATGTATTGGCATACCCAGAATTGGCTTTTTGACTTTTTGGCGGCTTTTGGACGTTTCCAGAAAAGACACATAGTGCACTTAGGCCATTGCACAATAATGCCTGTTTGTGGATTGGGTATACATCGTCATGCCATGCATTGTAAAAGGAGCCGCAGCATAAGCGGTGCACCATGCAACAATTTTCCGAATTTTTGATTATATGTATTTTTTTTTTTTTTGGATTTTCTGACTTTTTATTGTGCAGTACATATTCTGGACATGCATAATGTGCGGATATTTAAAACTGAAATTATGGTACAAAATAATTCGAAATTGATTGCGTTTAATTGTCAAAAATGAGCATAAAACGTTTTGAGGTTTCAACAAATATTTTAAGCTGTAATTTGGTCGAAATTGAAATTGATGATCCAAAATATGGTATGTTTAAGAAAGGGAAAATATGAAAAATATGTGCATTTATCAATGAAACTACGAATCAAAATCAAAAGGCTTAGAAAACGCAACAACTTGAAAATGTGAATATATGTACGAGTACTCGGATATTCCAAATTGATCAATGACATTTTATTTCAATTAAATATTTTAGAATATTAAATTAAATTATATCCTCTATTAATTTCGAGATACTTGTATCAATATCTTCAGAAATATCTTAAATATTTTTAAATGTTCTGAAATGTTCGAAGATAACAAAGCTAACAAAACTAATAATATCTCGACACGAGAATGGCAGGAAGATTCTGGAGCACTTATAAACTTTGCTGAATTAATTTACCTATATTGGCGATACAATTGAGCTTAAATCAGATGGATGAATTGATTGGTAAATTAATTTTAGCTAGAGCTTTTAAATGAGCATGTGAAAGTATATAACCATTAGTATTATTTGTCAATAATTATTAAAATAAATAGACTAGTTACAAGTTCATTTTTTTTATTATTATTTTAGTTTTTAAAAAAGCTTCTGTAAATCTTTGAATAAAAGTCGATTTTTTGTTTTTATTTTATTTATGTATATAATAAAAATATAAAATATGATTTATATTTATATAATATCACTGATGTATCGAAATTATAACTAATTATGGAAACATATAAGGGGGTATTTGGCATAGAATAAAATAAAAATTAAATATAAAAATTTAAAGGTTCATAAATGCCTTTCCTTTAATATACTCGTGTGAATAAAAACATCCTTCCACTTTGTCT